AAAAAAAACTAAATACCTAGTTAATAGACTAGTTTTTGTATTCACTGTAAAAATAATATTAGTATTATGATTGGAATATTATATTACTCGATACTTAGGTTATTAACATATGGTATTTTCATTTATAAAATGAAGAGGATTTTTCGTATGAACATAGATTATACAGTTTAATCTTGAATAAATCTTGAAGTAGTAACTAGCACTGTTTACGAAGACATGCTTTTCAAATATGTGCCTTATATTAATGACACTGTGGTTGGTTTGTTTCATTACATTTCGAAAATTAGAAGGCATGCAAAAAAAAGAGTAATCGATTTTTATTTAAGTTGTTTCTTTATTAAAATTCTTGTTTCAAACTGTAAAAAAAATCACCCATGATTTAAAAGTGTCTTCAATAAAAACACAGTTACAGAGTTAGCATGAGAAAATTCTTATTCAGCTATTAAATTATATATACTATATATTAGTATTATGTTTGAACGAAATGTTCAGCACGACGGAATTCTTTTAGCCATACTTGTCTTAAATTGTGTGGTAACCATTCAACGTATTGAGATTCATCCATTTGAATGTAGCCGACCATATTTATAATGTCATCGAATTTTCCATTTTCCATTAATATTCGATCTTGTCTACATGTTACAGATGTACCTGACTGACCATGAACGTATAAGCAAAGATGGCATCCAAAATTGGTAAATCTTGTATCTTGTTGTGAAAGTTTTTTTCCAGCATTAATACGAGTTTTTTCCATAAAAGTGTATAGAGACCCCAAATTGCTAGTAGAAGGAGATTGAGCTACGATGCCAATACGTGGTGAAGAAGATAACCAGACTAGCTTAAATTCACTCGAACTAAACTTTGATAAACCGATCTTTTTTGCGAAAGTTTGGTCTGGAATTCTTTTTTGAATACACACATTTTTATAATTGACATATTTCTTTATTTGTCTTGCATACCAGTTTGTCATACCCTCTTCAACTGTTTTGGCACCTTTCCATTCTCGATTATTTCCAACCTTGGTGATCTATATGTACAATAAAAATCAATATTTTTTCGTTAATAAGAGCATCATCGAAGTTGATTCAATAAGAATCGAAAAAAGAATTTCAAAAATGAAAATAGTTTAAAAATATATATTAGACTTGCTATGTGATTAGTCATTAGATATCTTTCTTGCTACGCATTTTTATTACAATTATGAAGCTATGCAGATGTTAATAAAGATAATAAACTGAAGTACCTGTATTTGAGCTTCTTTTAAATACTCTTCGTAAGGTACACACAAATGTGCATGCCATTGAGGTGTATGTTGTTGATACCATTTACCACAATGGAAAGAAAGTATAGCTTGTGTATCGAATTGTGAATTTTTGTAAAGGAAATGACTAATTAATTCAAAAGTTGCTTGAAGTTCAGCACTAGTAGCGTCTTTTTTTGGTTGATTTTGTATAATAATAAAATGAGGTCGAGGTGTCCATGTGTCATATACGATTTGAACTGGTTGTCCAGGTACTTCATAGGCAATAACTTCTGCACTTTTTGTTACAGAGCTCTTTCTTGTAATTGAATCCGTTGAATGCATGACGATTAACACTATTTACTAACTGACTTTATTGAAAAATAAATTAACTATTTATACCATCTTTCCTATTCAGATTCACACACAGGGAAAATATCTATGGCAAACATAAGATATATATATAGAGAGAGAGAGACGAATAAAGGAAATAAGGGAGAGAAAAAGGGCGATCATGTACATTCCCTTTACTTCTTGCCAAACTGAATGAAAACAAAAAAGATGATGTAATTCCTCCTCTTGTAAGAAGTAAGCGAAAATGTAGAGAAAGAATATGAGAAATTCGTCTTCTTATATGACAGGTAGGAAAGACCTGGACGAACAATATGATCATCATATGGAAATAGGAGAAAAAAAGAAAAGAAAAGAAAGATATATGTTGTAGGCAAAAGTAAAATACAGTCAAATTTGAAATCTGACTAGTCGAAATTAAAATTTTATTTTTGACTAGTCAGAATTGAAATTGAAATTTTGACTAGACGAAATTTAAATATTTCTTTTATAGTTAAAAGAAGTAAAATGTTTGCGTATTGATCGATTTCTCGTTCTATTCTTCTTCTGTTAACTATAGTTATTCTCACAACTAAGAAAATTAGGTCAGAACGAAGAACAGCTGTTGTGTACGATGAATGACTTAGCCTATCTAGTACGACAAAAGTTAAAGTAAAGAGAAACAAAATTCCAGTAAGGTGGTGTTGTGAAAATAAGTTGGTGTATAGATAATCACACATCGTAAAAAGATAATGGAACTGGATACAACGATCGTTCAAGTTAATGATATTGAAAAAATGTTTTCTGCTCTATCAAATGTCATTTAATGAGGGTGGGTGTTTAAACATAGACTAAATGAAATTAGAACCAAATGACGTTTGTTAAAAAGCATTGTAAAATAAAAACAAAACTGTTCACATTCTGATTGTTTGTCTTTCTTCGTTTCTACTATCTATGAAAAAACATTTTAATTTCGCCTAGTCAAATTTTAAATTCGATTTGATTTTGATTTTGGCTACAACATATACAGACATCAAAGAAAATGAGAGAAGCAAAACAAAATAATAGTGATAATATTATTAGAGTGCTCTCTAACAGTTGTATGTCCGCTGTTAGCAGCCATTGATCTGATGATGAGACAAAAATCACTGATGTATGAACACAAGTACTACGTTTCTTGAATAACATATGTATATAGATTTTTTTGTTTTTAGATTTTTTTCCCACTAAATATAAGACAATATGACGCTATCGTCAAAGCAATCGTCTGTAGGTCAGAAACAAAACAAAACATGAGGA